AGCAGTTCACAAATAAATATCCCACAGATTGGCATAGGAATGATAAGCAATATATCTCGTGTGTGAACAGATGACGAATAAATAACCCACAGATTGGTATAGGAATGATAAGCAATGTAGCTCGTGTGTGAACAGTTCACAAATAAATTTCCCACAAATTGGCAAAGGTGTGATAAGCAATATAGCTCGTGTGTGAACAGTTGACGAATAAATAACCCACAGATTGGTATAGGAATGATAAGCAATGTAGCTCGTGTGTGAACAGTTGACGAATAAATAACCCACAGATTGGCATAGGAATGATAAGCAATGTAGCTCATGTGTGAACAGTTGACAAATAAATAACCCACAGATTGGTATAGGAATGATAAGCAATATAGCTCGTGTGTTAACAGTTCACGAATAAATAACTCACGCACAAACAATAGGTTCAGAAGTACCCTGGAACACGTGGTTGCAAATGCGCACCCGTCGTCCACCAGCCCATGCGCCGTGCGTTTAATTGGGCAAACATACCACATACAAATAGTGTAAATCACAACACATCATGGGTCGATGGCCACCAGGCCATGCCTCACTAATAGATCCTCGGGATGTCATACCACACTCTGAGTCGCAGAGCAACACAGTGAGTCACAGAGGAACACAGTAAGTCACAGAGATAGAACAGTTCGCGTGGGGGAGATACTTGCCAGTGCGTAGGCCATGCGCCCAGCTAGCTACGATACTATAACACCCGTTATTGAGGAAGTAGTCTGTCCGTAGTTAAATCACACTCCAATAGTCAATGGTACAGGAAGCCAACAACACATGTGCACTAGCACTATACTCCGCCTGTAGTCCAGTACACGCTCTACCATACCCGTGGATAGTCCAGTACACGCTCTACCATACCCGTGGATAGTCCAGTACACGCTCTACCATACCCGTGGATAGTCCAGTACACGCTCTACCATACCCGTGGATAGTCCAGTACACGCTCTACCATACCCGTGGATAGTCCAGTACACACTCTACCATACCCGTGGATAGTCCAGTACACGCTCTACCATACCCGTGGAGGAAGCCTGCCTGCTGGTCCGGGAAACTTCCTTGCGGGTAGTTGTATCAGTGCGAAATCGGTTCCTGTCGGTCGTTGGGTGGCGGATGGGGCTGGGGGTCTCTGAGCGAGGGATTACATAGCCTGTTTGTGAGTTTGCTGGTATGCATACTGTGTATAAGTGTACATAAGGACAACTCCATGAAATATGGATGATCAGGCGGGGGGTTTAGAGATGGAGCTAGAAAGCATGTTGGAGGGATTGCTGACAATTCAACAAGTGTAGATTGAGACGGTATCATGAGGCCTGCACAGTAAGGTGGAGAAACGACTGAAAAGTCACACACGAGTTAACACCCATGTCATATGATATGTGCTGTCTCATGCATATGCGACCATATACACAAAGAAGTGTCCTAAGAAATGATCCATACAGAGCCGATCAGCAACCGAATCCAAACACACTACACGTTTGAGGGTTTGCGACCGCACTATTGCAAAAGACCGGCAGCGACTCAGCATTACTCTGGGCGGTCTTTCTAGTACCGGCGAGGGAAAGAAGTACGGTAAATACATAGACATGGTTATATACACACTCTCATAACTACATACATACATACACATCGATATATACACACATCCATATCTGCATACATACATGCACATAGCGATATAAACACACCCATATCTGCATACATACATACACATAGATATATACACACCCATATCTACGCACATACATACACATAGTGATGCACACACACCCATATCTACATACATACATTCACATAGATATATACAAACACCCATGTCTACGTACATGCATACACATAGCGATATACACACATCCATATCTACGTACATACATACACATAGTGGTATACACACACCCATATCTAGGTACATGTATTTAAATGTACAGTGGTGTAAACATCCAAACGCTCATTGAAAGCACATGCGAGATTACAGCCCACATGCAGCGCTCTAACAAAAACTTGTGGGCGTGGCGTATCTCTTTCGTCGCCGCATCTCTACTCGAGCGAGCGAGGTCGTGCACACAGCCAGTCAAGTCGGCGGCTTCAGGGGCACACACATTCGCAGATCATAACGCACACATGCAGACAACAGCACACATACATGTATATGTACAAATACGTGCATGCATATATGTATGCATGCATGTATGCAATACACGCAGACATACGAGTCTAGTGAAAACCTGCTAACACTTACGGGTATCGCCTGCGTGGACGGGATCGGTATACTGCTTGTATGCTGATGATCACTTGAAGTGGCCGTGTGCCGTGACACTTGCAGCCTCAGTCGGTCTACTGCGGTATAGTGTATATATAAGCGATATGCGCTGAATAAGGTAAAGCTCCTTGTGGTTGGTCCAATTTTTTAATAGAGGTTCAGATACGGTCCGATGTAATAAAACTCAAGAGCTTAGAAACCCAGACCCTAATCTCAATACCATTGCACCCTGGGGTGTGTCTTATATCAGATTAGAGCCGCTGAGCGTATATGGGGATAGCTATTGGAGAATGTTACCCCATACGAAAGAGACCTACATAGATGAGCGAGTGGACGATGGGTTGGCGCTCGTACGCAATAAACTATATTCATTCAAGACAGCCGGTCAACAATATATGAAGTGTGTAACTAAGATACTTAAGTACATACATACATACATACATACATATATACATAATTTATATATATATATAAATTCATACGTATCTATATACATCGATATATATATATATATATATATATATATATNTAT